TTAATTTAAAATGCTTCAATTTTAAAGAACGAATGTTCTTCTTTGGATATATTTTTTTTTGAAAGAATGTTTCTATGAGCAAGGGAGAATGTTCTTTACGTTAGCAGGCTACCAGTTGGCCGAGAGGTCAGGTGCCTTCTTTGGATAATTTAATAATGAGTAAGAGTATAAATTTCATTATATTAAGCGCAATGAGCTTATATTCTTTTGATTGGCCAAGCCCAATGAGCAATTTTTTTTGATCGGCCAAGCCCAATGAGTTTATGATAGAATTATTGTTACTTTTAATTTTTATCCTCCTGCTTGAGTCTTTTTCGTTTTATTTTAAACTTTTTTTTTTTTTATCTAAACTTAATTCCAGATCTCTCTTCTATCAATAATTTTTGAATTTCCTCCAACATTTCATTTTTGAGCTCTCTGTAACTCTTTTTTCCCTCAATTAAATAAAATTTTCTTTTATTAATTCTACCACAAAGAGAGACAACTAAATTCAATAATGAGCCGCATGTATTTAAAGCCATGTATTAATATATGTTTGTTAGAATCATGTAACATGCACCAACATTCTAAAATAATGAAATTGAAGATGCACACAAATTTTGATTAATCATTATTAACATTGACCATAAAAGTGTTAATATTTAAAACTTGAAAAACTAGAGGTTTCTCAGGAAAAATAAAACCACAAATATAATATTAGATATGTTCCATCACCTCCATGCACATCTCATGAAAAATGTAAAATAGTTAATTAGCATGGTAGAATACCTAAATTCACCCATAAAGTATAGTGGCAGGGATGAATCCACCCCCGAACAAAAAATAAGGACAAATCCATCCATAAAGTTTTTAATTTGGACAAATCACCTCAAATTTAATGTGTGATGTCATCTGACATCAGCAATCTATTAATTTGATGTCATCTGACATTAGCAATCCGTTAACGAATTAACGGATTGCTGATGTTAGATGATGTCATATGTTAAATTTGGGGTGATTTATCCAAGTTAAAAACTTTGTGGGTGTATTTATCCCCATTTTTTGTTTAGGGGTGGATCCGTCCCTATCATTATACTTTGGGAGTGGATTTGGGTATTTTGCCAATTAGCATGGCATTCACTATGTAACTCTAGAAGTTATATTTATTATTAAATAAGTGTTATTTTATAAATTAAATTTAAAATCTAGATTTTATATACACCAAGTTAATAACATTAGTCCAAACGCTAGTGTAAAATTTAGCTAAAAGTTAATAGGAAATAAAACTGTTTTTAACATTACAAAAGATGTTTTGGATCCGCAATTTGAGCTTATTTGTTGGATTTTTGGTGGTAAAAAGGGGGGATTGAGAGAGGACTTGAGAGAAGGAGGGGAGTCAACCAGAGTTCCCTTTTTTGGTGAGATTAAAATCCATTTTCTTCCATTAATATTCTGCTATTTATAACAAAAACAATACAACATAACATAGAACATAAAGCCATAAACATGAAAGGGTGTAGACATTCACCCAACCGGAGAGGAGAAACCATGCTTTCTCTTTCTCTCAATTTCCATTCAATTTCTTCCTTCCTTTTTAAAAAGATTTAATACCCAATTTGGTCCCTAAACTTTCTTTTTGGAACTCAATTCATCCTTTAACTTCAGAAAGTACTCAAATCATCCTTAAACTTTATCTTTCAAGAACTCAAACGGTCTTTCCGTCACGGAACTGCACACATGGCATGTTAAGTCTCCTCCAATTATCTTTTTTAATTTTTACAAGCTTACGTGGATAATACACCTCACCCAATTGATGACATGGCAATATTGTCTCTTTTTGTCGATGTAGAACAGCTCCCTTGTAGATTTACTCTCACTTCTAGGTTTCTTCCAACCTGGGGAGATTCCATCGGGTAATTCTCGGGGAAATCAACCTGAAGCTGGTAAGTTTCATTTGCATATAGAGTTCCAGGGGCTCCGTTTACTTCAATGACCCACCTACCGACCAGAAATATTAAAAATTTAGTGCAAATAATATCCTTAAAAGGAATATGGAGGAACTAATTGAAGGCAAACATAACAAAAACCTCTAAAATTAATAAAACCAACATAAATATCCTAAGATTTTCCATTTTCATTCATCTTGAAAAATCCAGAAACACAAGATCCAAAATTTCTCTCTCTTATTCTTCTTTTCTTCCTGGAAAACAAACAGGAAAAAGAAAAAGGCATTATCTGAAAGACTCAAAAAACCATTTACCTCTGAAGATTATCGGTGACTTGGCGTTTGAAACTGGCGGGAGGATTGACCTACAATTAAAAGAAATACTACATAAAATTAAAAGAAAAGCTATAAGGAAGGTCGAATGAAAAACAAAATTGAAAATTACACAAATGAGCTACACAAATTAGAATCAAACCTACAATTTTTCACATATTATTGTTATTATTTTTAATTAATTTACTCAGGGATTGTGATGAGCACAGGTTGCTAAGCTCTCCTTAGTAATTTATATCGAAACGCCCTTGTTATCTGCCTCAGAGAACTGTCGTGGCGTGCCGCCAGACCGTCACTTACGCTCCTTGGAGCTGGTAACAATCCTTCACTATCATCCACTCCACTCTTTACTCTCCTTCTCTTCAAAAGGCGGCGAAGACACAAAAAGCTCCTTCAATTTCCTTCTCCCCTTTCCTTCTCTCTTACTGCCGCCCTTCTTGTTACTGGTGTCAGTAGCAGCGGTTTTTTTTGGAGACTGATCCACAACCTTCTCCCAGTCATCGCAATGGCCGAATCGGTGGCGCTCTGAACCAGACGAACGGTTGAGAAGCATGTGGAGAGTTTTATGTCGGCAGATGTGGATGACAGGACTTGCACTCGGGCTCCTCCCCGGACTTCCTGCTATCGTGCACTACGTGCCTAGTAGCTTGAATTTTTGCAGAGTCGCCATTAATTCGTAGATCGATCTGAATCTAAACTAGGTGCTACTAATTAACACTCCTCCTGTTCCTCTGAATCTTGGAACTTAGATCTGAGATCTGAGAGAAAAACGAATGAATTGGATTCCTGGATTTATTAGGGATTTTGGAAGGAAAAAAAAATTGGATGGAAAAAAATTGTCATCAATTGGGTGAGGGGTATTGTCCACATAAGCTTGTAAAAATTAAGAAAGAGGTGATTGGAGGTAGGGATGTCAACAGGGCCCGCGGGGTTGGGAGTTCCTCCTCGTCCCCGTTACCATCCTTGTCTCCATTACCGTCCTCGTCCCCACGAATGGCAGGGACGGGGATCCCCGTAGAGATTTTTAAGGAGGGGCAAATTTTACCCCCCATCCCCATTACACGCGTTTCCCACCAATTAATATAAAAAAATAAATTTTTTACATATAATTAATTAATATTCAATTATAATAAATAAAATTTTAAAAATTCAAATATAATTAATTAAAATTCTTTAAATATAAATTATCCAAATATAAATAAAGATCAATCTAACATAAATAACTAAAATGTTAATAATATGCTGGATAAAATTGGATTAAATATAAATTTTATTGAATTGGATTTAGGTTTGAAGGTTGAATTAAATTTAAAATAGAACTAATTTATATATTTTTTTAATTTTTCACGGGGATGGGAATCCCCACGGGATCCCGCGAGACGGGGAAAATTCCCTGCGAATTTTCACGGGGAGAAAAGACTCCCCGTCCCCGTCCCACGGGGAGGGATATTCCTCCCTACCCCGTCCCCGTGGCGGGGATCCCCACGAGGCCCTGCGGGGATCGAAGCAAATTGCTTTCCCTAATTGGAGGAGACTTAACGTGCCATGTGTGTAGTTCCGTGACGGAAGGACCGTTTGGGTTCCAGAAAAATAAAATTTAAGGATGATTTGGATGCTTTATGATGTTAAAGGACAAACTAAGTTCCAAATAGAAAGTTTAGGGACCAAATTAGGTATTAAACATTTTAAAAAGAAAGGCCATACATAAAACAATAATATTTTTCTACTTAATACGGTAATTATTGATTAACTAAAACATTGACTAAAATGATGAAGTTTGCTGTATTTTTTGTAACGCATGTGCAGCTCCCATGCTGTTGTCACTTTGCTATTACTGTGCAGTCTACTGTGCAGTCTACTGTACAGTCATCACTTCTTTCCATTTGCTGCCACTGCTGCAGCTTTTTAACACCACAACTCCAACATCATTTCATGTACATTGTGGATCAGTTTTTTTAACAATCCAAATGGAGATATAGCAAAATGCTAAAATTGAACGTTATTGAAATTGAACCTTAACTTCTTAATTACTTCTTTTACTTGCGAGAAGAATGATGAGTAGCAGCATAGCGATCCAGATTGAGGCGAATGATAAACGAGTACTTGAGAGAGCCACAGTAGAGAAAATTCTGAATCTTGATCCCACTCGATATCATTGACAACTCAGAATCATAGTAGTGAGCAACCGGTTTGCCCTCCAGATCAACAACAAAGACCCCACCATTTCTTTCCATGCTTGGCCTTCCAACATACTTCTCCATTAATGCCATAATCTTTCTGATGAATGGATATCTAAATGCCATCTCCCAACTTTTCACAATTCCCTATCATTTTAAGTAAAATTGAGAGTATTTTAGTGTTTTTTTTTTTGGTAATATTTTATCAAAATAACAAAAATTATTAAAATTGCAATTTTAAAATATTTTTCTTTTTAATTTTTTAAAAACTTAATTGATGAACATTTATATATATATATATTCAAAAGAGGCTTTTCCAAGTTATTCTCATGCAAAGTCATGTGAGACCTACTATTTTTTTTTTTTGTAACAGTACATCACAATTCTAAAATTCATTAATTTAAAATTACGATGGAATCCTATGTTATTTTCATGCAAAATCATGTGACACCCACTTAAATTGTACCAGATATATATGAAGCATCTAGTCATGTAAAAACAAATGATGATTAAAATTCCATTTCTTTTTTCTCGATTAAATCAATGCAATAGAAAAGGAGTGGGTACCAACCGAAGAAAGTGCAATCCAAAAGTGGCCTTCTCCATCATAAAGAATGTTATCAGGATAGCCTGGTAAATCTTCAACAAATCTTTCTATTTCTCCTTTCTCCTCTCCCTGTATCTTAAGCTTTCTGCACCTTCTCCTGCAATATATGGACCAACCCAATCAAGTTATATATC